CCCCCCCCCCCCTCCAAAAAAAAACACAAAAGAATCTTTATCGAAAGAAATAAGTTCTAAGGAGACATACAATTAAAAATTTATTGCCAAGTATCATTTACGTGTTCTCTAAAATATTTCCTCATGAGTATGCTAGCAAAATTTGCAAGTCAGACTTTAACATTTAGCTAAGTGGGAAACTAAATTGTGGCAACTACCTTTAGATTGGATTACACTGAACCTATTATCCAACGCAGGATTGAGAACTTCCCCTCTCCCTCCTGAGATTTAGTTATAAAACTATGTGCACCCAAGATTGTGATCTAGCGGTCAATAATGTGGAATATAAACTATAGGGAACCAGGGTCCAAATCCTAGCAGAGGCAAAAAACGCTAGGTATAATATCATTGTTCAGGAGCTAACTCTTCTTTTTGGTGGTTCACCAACATGTAATGTTCAGCACCTACTGGATGCAATTTTAGTGGAATTCCATCTTACCTGATAAAAAAATGCTAGGTATGATTTCTTCTCATATACATAAACCTTGGTAAGTAGAGTACTAGGTACCTGTGTCGGTGGGAGATAGGAGGTAATAGGTGGAATAGTCAAATTATAAGCCTATGTTTGCTGATAACTACCAACTTTGGATTTTCATCCTACTTGATAGTTTTAAGGCTATATCGAAGATAGATGATACTCTCATTTTCCGGTGATAATTGCTAAGTAAATGAGTACGTAATCTTTTTCTTTAGTTATACGTATTCAGTCTTCCAACTTCAGTCTCTTTAATTTTGTACTTAGCCATCATAAATCATCATTCAATTTGAAGCTGGGGTATGGAATAACCACTCCAACATATTCACATCCCCGGTCCATTAAGCTACTAAAGAAATAAGGCTTTATTTTCTTTATAAGAAAGTTATAGCTGCAAAATCCTAAATGACCCCCCCCCCCCCACACACACACACACACAGAGAGAGAGAGAGAACTAACTTCTTTTTGATAGATGGTGTTCATTTAGGATTTTGCGGCTATAATTTTTTTTAAAAGAATTATAGCAGAGGACAGGTAAATTCTTCAGCCGAAGCATAAACCTGGAAACCAGTCCTATGTTGCTCGGACTCTCCAAAGATGTTGTCGGGTGCGTGTCGGATCCATCAAAAGTAGTGTATTTTTGAACGATCTGACACGGGTGCGACAGCATTTTGAAAAGTCCGCGCAACCTAGGAAACCACTTCCCTACCTTTCTCCTCAGAAAAAGAATCTTGACTAGATTATTTCCTGCTAGNACACACACACACACATAGAGAGAGAGAGAGAACTAACTTCTTTTTGATAGATGGTGTTCATTTAGGATTTTGCGGCTATAATTTTTTTAAAAAGAATTATAGCGGAGGACAGGTAAATTCTTTAGCCGAAGCATAAACCTGGAAACCAGTCCTATGTTGCTCGGACTCTCCAAAGATGGTGTCGGGTGCGTGTCGGATCCTTCAAAAGTAGTGTATTTTTGGACGATCTAACACGGGTGCGACAGCATCTTGAAAAGTCCGCGCAACCTAGGAAACCACTTCCCTACCTTTCTCCTCAGAAAAAGAATCTTGACTAGATTATTTCCTGCTAGTAACAGTCAAGTGAACAACCTAAATTCACTCAGAGTACAATTTCTTGATAAAAGATTCAATTGACCAAAGAAAAAAAAGTTTCTTATATAGGCTTTTAAGAATGCATAAAGGACCTGCAACTAAGACATGGATTTCTTGGTAGCATTTATCTAGAAAGCAGAATAAGTAACTTTTTCTGTTTAATTTGGTTTCATTCAATCTTATTACTCTAATTCTAATTCATCTTGCAAAAAGACATGAATAAATTTCTCCTGCTTATTCCATGAAAGCACTTACTCAAACAACGTAAATAGGTTAACTCGACAAATTCCTAGCTTATGGAGTTTCAAAGCTGCAGGGGAGTGATCCTTAACAAGTATATCCTCTATCCATGATTTAGGTTTAGTTTTTCAACAGCACAACTAAGCAATTTACAGGAATAACCCAAATTGGCAGTAGGAGTAAACTCCTGGAGTTTTAAGACTAGCATAGCAAACTTAATTGTGATATTATGAAACACACCTTCCATATGATGGCCGTGCAGTCACTTGATGATGATGCCAAGTAGTTTCCATTGTTCGAGAACTGCACATACCAGACTTCATTCCTGTGGTTAGTCAGAATCTGCAACAGTGATAAAGACATTAAACACGTCTCTCCTAGAGAGAAGCTAGACGAACAATGACAACAATTTAGTAATGAGAGAAACTACTCATGATCACGGTGTGATAAGTCCAATCTTCATTAACTCCACACAGATTAAGCGATTCTAGAATAGAAAACCATTCCTTATCAAATAAATTTTTAAAAAAAACTATAATAGAAAACCATTAATAGCATTCGCAATTTCATTGTGACTAGATAATTAGCAAGTCATAAAGCAATATTTGCCACAGAATTGCGAGGCTACTAACATTCTACAAATTTGCCTATATGTCGGAAGTTTATTTGAGACCATGATCCGACATTCACAACAAAAGATAGTAAAATTAATGAAATAAGTAAATGGCCTTTTCAGGATACACAGCACTGCTGGGAATGTGGCTTCTTTAGTCTTGGATCTTTCCAAACTTATCTAAAATAACAAATTATAGCACTGGAAAAAGAACTTCATTACGAGCTAAGTTACATCTTAGATACACTGTGTTAGCCCTCTGTCAAGCCCTTTCAGGTCAACAGAGAAAGGAGCCCAAAAGTAGGGCAAACTAGTTCAAATATCCTAGTGTATCACTTGGGAATTAATGAAATTATCCCATATAACCGTCCTACTTTCCTTTTCAATTTTGGTATTCTGCAAAACAATTTTTCCAAGATTAGCAATAAGGTAGCAGTAGAACCACTTTTGAGCTATTGAAGGTTTACTTTCAGGGTTAAAATGGCAAGTAAAAATTAAGCTATTGAACTGTAAGTCAATAAGCGTGACAATCTGATATCCTATTGAGCAAAAATATTAATGGATCAAAATGAAAGTAACTTAAGATAACATTATACTTTTAAGATCAGATGCAATCTTCAAAAACTATGGCAATACATGGTCCTCTCAGTGCTCACCTGAGTGGTCTTTGTTGGAAACTGACTTCCATCACAATGGTGATCTTCGTAGAGTGAAATTGCATCAACTGAATTATGATACACACAGTTATCTATCTTCGACCATACAGCCATTTCAACCAAGTACTCTAATCTTCGTTCGGGCAATGTAATGGGTGGCGGCAGTACTTTTTCAAGTTCCATCAGCAAAAAATTTCGCAAATTAGAAATAACATCAAGATCTACCTTACCCAACCCCAACTCCTTCAAGGAGAGAAATCCAAAAGCAAGCTTATGAACCTTCTCTTTCGCCACTTGTAAACCAGATATCTGTTTCTGTAAGATTTCCAAAGCTGAAGAGTCGTCCCCACGATTCAAATACTCTAACAAACACTGTTTGAGAACAAGAAACAAAGCCGACGCTCTTGTCTCATTGGTCAAGCCATTAAGTCTATTAAGGCAGTCAATACACGCATCCCAATTAGCATCAAGAATATGCGACTCGAGGGACTCAAGTTCATCAGATTTGTAGGCAATCCCAGATTCTGATTCCAAAGAAACAGCAGACTTTCTGTAGCCTAAAGAATAGAGACACTGAATAATGATCCTCACAAATTCATGCTTCTTTATTAGGTGTTTTGACCCAAGATTCTCCAACGGATTCTCCATGATTGGAACAGCCTCAACAACCAGTTACATTCTAAAAGACTACCCTATTTTCCACTTGTAACCCACTGAAAACTCGAGAAAATGTGCTGCCACCAATTTAGAAACCCAAATCAGAAATGAACCACTAAAGTTAGCCAGAGATAAATGGAATAAGGTAAACAAAGAATCTTCAACTAAGTATGCCATCAAATTGTTGAATAGCAACTGAGGTTAAGTTCATCCAAGAACAAGAATATATGATCCAGCAATACAAGAAACACTCAGAAGCACTACAAGAAGATGCAGAAAAGCGTAATAAGTAACGGAAAGAACAGAACAAGGTTGATTTACAATTAACTAACACCCAATTTCTAAAGCTACCCTTTTTTCACTTGTAGACCAGCTGCAAACCCATTATGAAAAGAACTTCCGCCCACCATTTTACGAAACCAATTAAAAAATAAAGTAAACGAAGACATTTCCAACTTAGTATGTCTAAGTTGTTGAAATCGAAGAAAATACTGATTTGCAAATAATTAACACCGAAGAAATGGGCATACTGAAGGGGGCAAAGATTACTTCATCAAAAAAAAAAAACTGAAGGGGGCAAAGAAAATAAAATATGTACCTGATGAAAATTCAAAAAGTGCAACTGCTTAACTGGAATCAGTAATGACGGTATTAAGAATAACAGGCTAAGAATGGGGAATCTAGTCTAGTGAATGTAGAGAGAGGATCGAAAAGATTAAATCGTAATTGTATTGAAGACAAAACAAGGCAGCAAAGACAAAAGATCACTTAAGCAGGGGAACACGTGGATGGATGGTAGCTACTTCCAGAGTCTGTCAACGACGTCGTTATATACTTTTTGGTTTTACGGGACTCACTGGCCGTCCATTGGACCTCTCAGACATGGGGCCATGCTACTACTTCTTGGACCGACTTCAAGTGGGCCATAAACAAGAAGGTGGAGGGCGAATGCACAAGAGCAAACTTCATTTGTAACTATCCGGGAAAAATTAATGACAATAGGTAGCCACAAAATAAATCATACAATTAATAACCTAAAACTAATTAAAGGGCCAGCCCAAGACCACTGCCACTCTTCCCCCTCTCTATGGCATCCTCCTCCGCTCTCTCCGTCGTTCCTCCGCCGCTGTCAGAATTCAAATCACATTATCCGTTCATCCTCACCCAACACCACAACCACCACCTCCTCAAAACCCCGACTTCCTTCTCCCTCAGCGATCATACATATTTTTCTCAGCCGAAGAAACCAATGCCGAACGCCGCCGTCGCAAGCGCCGCCTCCGTATTGAACCACCAATCAACGCCCTCTGTCGTGATCCACTCCCGAGGGGACCGCCTTCACCTAACAACCCTCGTTCCCGCCTTCCCGACACCACGTCGGCACTGAGCGCCCACCGGCTTAGCCTTCACAATCGCCTTATAGTCTATTATTCGCATCGGGGATTTGGAATCCGCAACTGTCGTTGCTCGTCACGTCGTTTTCTCAAACACACGGTCGACTGTATTCACGTGTAATGCTATCATCGGTGCTATGTATCGTGCCGACCGATACAGTGATGCTAGGGCTTTGTTTCAGATTTATCCTAGAACTATGCAAAGTGATTTCAGATTTTGCTCTGAAAATTTAAAAATAGTAACGCACTTAAATTAAATTTGGAATAACAAGTCTATTGTATATAAATTGTATAGTAACAGTCTATTTTGTATAATTTTTGTATATATTTTGTAAAGAGTGACAGTGGATTTTTTAAGTGTCACTATACAAAATAGACTATCACTATACTTAAATATACTAAATAGACTGCCACTTACAATTTATATACAATAGACTATCACTATACAAAATATATACAAAATAGACTATCACTATACAAAATATATACTAAATAGACTGTCGCTATATAAAAATTATACAAAATAGACTGTCACTATATAAAAAATATACAAAATAGACTGTCACTATACAAAAAGTATACTAAATAGACTGTCACTATATAAAATATATACTAAATAGATTGTCACTATACAAAAAATATACAAAATAGACTGTGACTATACAAAAAATATACAATATATACTATCACTATACAAAAAATATATAAAATAGACGGTCACTATACAAAAAAATATATAAAATAAATATTTTGGGCTATTAGATGTAATATGTTTGGGCCGGATAGCCATTTCGTGTCAACGGGGGGAAAACATGGGCTATTAAAATTTTGAGGGGCTATAGAGGGTAGTTTTCTCAATGCACAAATAACCCTTTTTATGCCCATATTTAAAGATTATAGCAAAAAACATAATTAGGCAAAATTATAGAAAAAATTTCGGTGATGTAGCAGCATTAGGTCTTTTACACACATGGCAGCTAAATATTTATATTCCTAGCCAAAATTCTTTTACCATTGTACCTTAAATCACGCATCAGTCAAAGTTTCAGTTACGCTACTTCTCCTTAATTAAGATAATTAACATCCTTAGTGTCGGACAATCTTCTTATTCGTAACGGTCGTATTCCATATATTTCATATGCCATATATTATTATATAAAGAGGTAAAAAGCAACTAATAGGAAGCAAACAGCTGAAATATCACGTATATTTCTTCTGCCATGGATAACAGAATCATAATTTTGGTTCAACATAGCGGTGAATGGGATATACAACACAAGTTTAAGAATTTTAGCGTTGATGGGATGTTGATTGATATGGATTGGGATTTTAAAACGATTCGTTCGGAGATATCAAAGATACTTGGAGTTTACGCGAACATTTATATGATGGATATTGGATATTCCGTGAAAGAGTATTTTCCATCCATGAAAAATATACGACGACTAGAGTTTAAGCTTGTACGTGGAGTTGAAAAGGAAAAAAGTATCTTTCACTTATTATTCATTGTGTATAACATTTAAAGAGCAGGGTAACGACGGTACATGCTCAAATCTGGTTGTAAACAAGTCAAACTCCAATCTTTTTCAGATTTGCCAATGGTTAACAATATATTACTATCATTCAAGTAGAGCCACAGTTCATCTCTATTATCATAAACAACCTCCCTCAATAGTAGAGGTGAATCAAACGGGATTGCATAGCTACAATTGGCAAATCAAGGAAGTATCCAAAACAAGTTTCTTTGAACATTGCAAATTGTCTCGAATTCAGATATTTCATTAATGTTTGAACAATGCAAATATTGTTGTTAGCACCAGTCTTCAATTTAGAATGATCTTGTGATTTGGAATAAAAATTCCAAACCTGCAATAAATAATAATATAAAAAAATTATTCATTTAATAGTCGTATAACTGTTTTACAGCTTAAACAAATATATATTAGAAAAACTATTATACTGAATTAGAGGCAAAACAAATAGATATCCAACATGAAATTCACTAAGATATTTATATAGGCTTGTATCCAATGTTTTGGTTTAAATTGGGTTTAGTATGAAGGTTTCCAATATCGGTAGTCATGTGAAATATATGTAAAGTTGTTATACCATGTTATTGAGTGTATAATTTATCTCCACTCATATAAAATGTAGGTAAAGCTATTATACCATTAAAATAGTCTAATTATTGAGGGTATAATTTATAGAAAAAATGTCCAAAATTGCCTTTCTAATATGGTATATGGTTTAAATTTGTCCCCTGCTATACTTTTCGTCCAAATATATCTGTACCGTTAACAAAGTTTGCATAATTACCCACAACCCTAACTTCCTCCACTGTGGCACCCAGCCCTTCTAATATTTATCCATGTCATCGGCCAAGTCAGCAAGTCCCACTAATTAACCTACCCCTTTCTTATTAAAATATTCTCATCTTATTCTCCCTCTCTTAAATCTTAACTCACAGACCTACTCACTCCAAAACCTCCAAGTCGAAGTTGGTCGCCGTTCAAGGTGGTTCCGAACACACTTTGCAAAATTATAATTATTTATCTCCATCCCTATGTGAAGAAACATGTGCCTACGAAAATATATCTAAGAGAAATATATGTATTACAACCATCGAGTTTTCGGCGAAATCGGCCTCTGACGACTTCTGGCCAGAATGACCAATGCCAAAAAATGTGTCAAGTATCATAATCCCCTCCTATCAAAGTTTCTAATAATTTTGAATGCCACAATTGGTCGAATCAAGCTTTGAAGAATGGAGCACTGTTCCGGCGGCACCCCCAGCTCCACAAAGTGAACTACAAAGAAATTTAACAGCAATTTGGTCTGCAACTTTAAATTTTAAACCAACAGATGTGAACTTTCGAACACCCAACAACGTAAGTTCCCAAAATTCACTATAGTTGACGAATTCAAATCTCATTTCAGTTAGAACACAAATCGATTCTCAAAAATAAATATGTAATATAGCCATTCAATTTTACCAACCATAATATAAAGTTTGGAACTAACGAACTGAAGTTGCAAGTGCAATTTTGTCGAACTGCTGAATTTTCAGCTCAAAAATGGTCTAAATCTTCACGAATCAGCTCCAAAATATGGATATGAACTCTACAAAATATTTTTGATTATTTGGAATAATATCCAATCGAAATAACTTCGATTTGCGGAAATCTGATTATTGGATTCGGAGCTTCAAGGTTCGTTAATGGTTGTTATAGAGTTTTCGAATTTTAGGTTCTCCCTAAAGCTTCTCAACTTAGTGTGTTGCACAACTCACCAGACAACATTTTGATCCTACGGATGCAACTCAAACAATGATTCGTTTAATCGTCAATCCGAATTTTTTCTACGCCAAATGCGCAAGCATTTTCGGGGTTGCTCTCAATTGTGCTATTATAATCCGATTGCCCAATTGTTCTAACTTCGATTTCTATAATTTTCTTGTTGATTGTGCCAACCAAAGTTATGTGGTTTGAGGTTTCACAAATTGGGCCTTGGATAATTCGAGATTTCATGAGATTAAGGATGTTTATTAAGAATTATATGGGAGAATTTCTTATTTTTACATCTTGTCATACGAATGGTTTGGTTGGGGGTGGGGGTTAATTTGATGGGGTCGAGTGACTTGGCAGCTGGCATGGAAAAAATTGAGGGGGTTAGCTACCACGGTGTAGATCCATTACGGTTAGGGGCAATTTTTAAAAGTTGATTAACGGTATGGGCTAGATTGGACGAATAGTATAACAGGTAGTAGAAGTAAATAATATAGTATAGTATAGGGGCAATTTTGGACCTTTTCCCTAATTTATATACGTTATACATCACAAATAATTATACATGAAATAAATCTATATTATCATACTTATTACTATGTTGGTAGACATAGTAATCACAATTTATCCAATACCATGTACCGGTATATATTCTAGATGTCAATAAGTGATTACTCTCTATGGTTGGGAACAACATAGAAATACAGCCGATATACAAGCATGCCAAGTGCGAACCTACTAGAAATACGTTCGATAAATATACCAAGTATAAATAATGTTTAATCAATTTGTAATACAAACATATAATACTTTCAGATTCAGTGTCGGTTCTCTAGCCTCATCAACCTTTCTACTTTTTTTGTGCCTCACAGAGGGAGATTCTATATCCTCAAATTCATCTTCTATATCTTTTTTCCGTTTCTTCTTCTTAAACTTTCTTATCATTTTATGCTTCTTTGTATCCAATGCAACAACATTCTCTTTTGCAACTTGATTATAATTTCTTAGAGTGAAATATGGAATTCTTTTAGAAAAATCTGCCACGCGCTCCTCCCGTCGCTCAACAATTTTTCTCAAATGAACACTTTGTTCTCAGTCGCCTTTGGTTCGCATTCCTTGTAGGAGTTTCATGCAACAACTCAAAACTGGAATGAGTAAGAGGCATGATATCTCCATCATTGTCTGATGTAGAATCAGAGTAGGTAACCCTAATAGCCTTAACAGCTGGGACATCCAATTTTGAACTACTACCCAAATTGTTCTTCAAATTTGTCTTCGGTTCTTGTTTTAACTTTGCCATTATTGCAGATTCTATGAAAAAACACTTGGAAAGCCTAATAGAAATAATTTAAAAATATATATATTTCTACGGATTGTAGATTTATTTGGAGGGATTGATTGAGCAAATGGATGAAATCATGGACGAAATCTCTGTGAATATTCTTCAAAATTAAGCGAAATCCCAAACAATTAAGCGAAAGGATAAGAAGAGGGGAGCGAAATCTCTGTGAATTTTCGGAATGATTGAGCAAAATCTTCGTGATTGTTTTGAATAATTGAGCGAATTCCAAAAATTCATATGTTTTAATATTGTGAAATGATTGAGAGAAATATACATGCCTAATTGATTGCATATTGTGATAGATGGAGTGATTGGAGAAAATAAGATGAGAGAAGGAGATAATACGAAGAGAGGAGAGATCTGATTTCTTTTGACGATGAGAGAAGTGTAAAAATGCCAAATATCCCATGATTTGTGCCTTTTTCCATGGTCATTAATTATTTGCTTATCTTTAAGATATGCTCTAAATGTAAATAAATCTTTCATTTATGTAATAAATAAAGATTGCTAATATTTTCTTAAATATTTTTAAAAAAGTGCTCATTCATGTATATTTCTCTTTAAAGAAGAAAGAATAACCGAAAATTTTAGAGTTTGGCTCTGAATTTCCAATCGTTGGTCTAAAT